TTCACGCCCCTGGGCTCCCTCTCTGTGGGGGGGGGGGTGTTGCCCTGCTCTGGCCCCGGGGGGTGCTGCCCTGATGTGCATGTGGGGGTGGTAAGTTGCACCCTGTGTCTGACTCTCCCTCCCCCCAGGTCTCCCCATCGGACGTTCTCTGCTGGACCCCCAGGCCCTGGGAGCGCCACCCCCCACCCCGCGAGGGGCTCCCCGCCCGCCGGCCCCCCAGCCAGAGTGACAAGCAGGAGCCTGGCCTCGCCCACCAGCGCTAGCCCAGCCCCCCTTCCCCCTTCCCCTGTTAATTTCTGGGGTGGGGGTGAGAGCGGAGCTGCCCTGCCCCACTGAATGTAACTGGAGTTGGGTTTGTTTTTGATTCACCTGAATTAATTTTGGGGGGCAGGAGTTGGGGTCCCCTGCCCGGGTGTGTGTAAATATATGTGATGGGCAGGGGGCTCTCTCCCCTCCCCCAGCCGGGGGCGGGAGGGGACAGCAGGTTTGTTACATAATAAACTGAAAAACTGTTTAAAAAAATGAATAAAAGGTTAAAAGCAAATGTGGGGGGTGTGGTGTGTGCAGGGGGGCAGGGGCCGTGCACCCCCTGGTCTGTGCTGGGTCTATACGACAGGTGTCAGTTCATCGCAGCCCCAGAACAGGGCAGTAAGTGAATGAGCCAGGGATGGACCCCTCTTCTAGTCTTGGCCTTTGCAACATCCCAGGGCGAGGAGTTCCCCACGTTAACAGTGCCTGGGGTTGTGTTAAACCTGCTGCCTGTTACTGGCACTGGGTGACCTCTTGTTCACTATCCGCCCCCATCAAGCTGGGCAGGACGTCCCCACCCCGATGGATCAATGCATCCTGGCTAGTGGAGAGGGGATCAACTTGATCCCTGATCCTGCTGCCAGCGCTGCTATTGGCAGAGCTTGTGTAGATCTGGGCGACCGGCTCTGCCCGCAGTGATCCCGGGAAAGCCCCTGGCGGGTCGCTCCTGCAGCCCCCGTTGGCCGGGAGCCGGCACGTAAACAAACCTGCCCCACTGCCTGCAACAGGAGATTTTCTTATTCTCCCCTGCCCCAAGGGCACGCCCACGCCTTGCGGGAGGGACCAGGGGAAACTGAGGTACTGGGTCAAGAGTCCCCGCGGCACAGACAGGACCCGCAGGCCGACACCAAGCAGCTTTATTGGAGACGGGGGTCAGGGGATAAATAGGGGGCGGGGGGCCCAGGCGCGCCTAGGCCTCATCCCCGAAGGCGCGGTCGGCGTTGGGGAACCGCTGGGGGCTGAAGCTGGGATCCTCCCGCAGCCGCTGCTGGAGGTCGGCCCGGAGCTGGAAGAGAGGGGGGGAGGGGTGAGCATGGAGACAGCGGGAGCCCCCCACATACCCCAGAGACCCATGGGCGGGGGCCTCACCTGCTGCCGGTAGCCCTCCTGCAGCGCCGGCTCGGCCAGCTCCCGGCTCAGGCTCTCGCTGCCGCTCAGGGGCTGGACGCCGGCGGCTTTGGCGGCGCGGCTGACGGCCTCGGAGAGGAGCAGCTGGGGGCCGTCGCCCCGCATGGTCTGGGGGACAGCGGAGGAAGAGCGCGGTTGGCGAGCAGGAGGGGGCGGGCCTGTGCGCTGCCCAGTGCTTAGCGGTTCAGGGGCACGGTTGGGGGGCAGCTAGGGACCAGGCGGGGGTTGGGGCCTCACCTTGCAGCGCTTGGCTGGCATTCCCGTCAGGTAGCTGTTGCTGGGCAGGCGGGGGGCTCACCTTGCGGCGCTTGGCCGGCATTCCCGTCAGGTAGGTGTTGGGGGGCAGGCGGGGGGCTCACCTTGCGGCGCTTGGCCGGCATTCCCGTCGGGTAGGTGGTGCTGGGCAGTTGGGGGGCAGGTGGGGGGCTCACCTTGCGGCGCTTGGCCGGCATTCCCGTCAGGTAGGCGTCGCTCAGCGGCGGCTGCTGCTTCCCGCGGCGCTGGGTCTGGATGTCCTCGCGGATGATGGGCACCCACTCCTGGGGGGACAGAGGGGGGTCAGACACTGGGGGACCCGGGCACACCCCAGCCCCCCCCCCAGCCCCGGCACTCACCGGGGGCACAGCCGCTGCCCAGGGCTCGGCGTCGGGCACGGGCTCCCCCGGCAGCTCCCCCTGCTCTGGCTCCGGGCACCGCGCCACGGCCTCCTCCGCCGTAGTGGCCGGGGCCGGCGAGGCCGCACTGTCCCGCTGCAACCGGGGGGGTTAGAGACAGCGGGGACCCCTGACAGCCGCCCCCCAACAGTCACCCCCCAGCTCTCACAGCGGGGACCCCCGACAGCCGCCCCCCCACAGTCACCCCCC